AGGGAAAGAGAAATTCAAAGATATAATACCATTATGAGATGGGAAGCAAACCATTTGATTCTTTTCATTAAGTGACAGGTTGTTAAATATTGGAAATCAATAAACTTTGATACCTGCCTTCTTAAAAAATATCTGCAGGACACAGTTCAGGCACGCTGGCGCGGGAAAGGCACAGAGGYGGCTGAGGGCCTGTGTGTGATTCTTGGTCTGCTTCTCCCTTGGCCAATCACTTAATCTTGCTGAACCTCAGACTCCCCATCTATAAAATGGGGATAACAATAATACTTAGGTCACAAAATTGTGCAAACTGTTGTGAGATGGTGTACTTGGCCATGCACCACAGACCCTTTAGTTCTGTTTTATATTATATACGATGCTGGGATCTYAATGCACAGAACATACTGCAAAATAAAGACTCTGCTAAAGAGACCAAGATTAATCACTAAATAGAAAAATATGAACAACAGAGGTTTAAAAGTTATCATTTATTTAACAATTCACAAGAAATTTCCAAATTTTATGTGTTATTTGGAGCCAATCATGAATATTGGTAGCTCCTTTTTTTTCTTCCTGGACTGTCAAACATGCTCAATTTGTTGCTGAAGTAGCACAGATCATATCTACTCAAGGAATTCAGACTAAGTTTAAATGTAACTTAAACCAGAAATAAAAAAAAAAAAAAACAAATACCATGCAGCAGTCTAAAACCAAATACAAAGAGCATTTTTTGCCATCAATTTGAGATAATTTCTATCCAAGATAATATGTATGCAGTTATTTATTTATGTATCAGTAAGAAAAAAGAGTAAAGATCACTTAAGATAACAGAAATGCAGAAGGTCTAAACTTTCTATAGCAATGCAAATGCAAAAATCACCTGGTCCTATGATGAATTCGGTTCCAAAATAACATATTTAAAGATACACATAATACACTTAAGCCTCCAGAACTTGACTCTAGAGAGGCAGATGAGCCATAGAAAGTGGTTCTAGTTAACTCCTTTTTGGCTGTAGTCTTCACATCCCTTTTGAAAATAACCACATTAAGTCCACCATGTTAACAGAAATATTGGCACAACATTTAATCCAATCAGTAAGTCAGTAAGAAGAATAAAGCTATTTCCATAAACATTTAAGACTGGGTCTACAGAAGACAGAAGTTAATCTTCTGTGGACGCCATTTCTACATTTTTATCCAGTTTGCATGCATTGGCAAGGGCCTGATTCACATTGAGAAACAGCAGCAATTCTTTACCAGCTCACCTTGAAATACCAGGGAAGCTCTTCAGTTCACCAAGGATGGCTTATTCTGGCATCTGCACAAAAGCAGWTAACCTGGCTCTGATCTTTGCTGGATTTCAGTGTTTTAAACTGCTATAAAACATATATTTGTTTGTTGGCCTTTAACTCCTTTAAAGTAAAATATATTTTAAAAATCAAGTATTAATGAAGTATCTCAAAACAATATAGTTGGAATACTATTAGCCTGAGACATGAGTTTATGTGATTTATTTCTGTGTGAAACCTGGCATATTCTAGGCTTCCATAGTCCCCACTCTTCTGGTTGTCTACTCGCCCCCATGGCCATTCCTCTTGAAAAGCTCTTGCCCCGTACCTGGGTAAAATTCAAATTTCCAGCCTGTATTCGCTCCATTTTTCACACCCTCAATTACCATTATGTGTAGTGACAGTTCCCACACCTCTATCTTCAGTTCCTATATTTCTCTCCTAAGTGCCATCTAAACTCACAGCTGCATTTGGATATTCAACATGCATTCTAAACTCAAAATGAAGCTAATTTCCTAYTCACCTTCTTATATATTTTTTTTAGTTGTAGACACACACCTTATTTATTTTTATGTGGTGCTGAGGATTGAGCCCAGTGCCTCACGCATGCTAGGCGAGCGCTTTCCCATGGAGCCCCARCCCTTCTCATCTTTTCTCTCTGCCTCCTTATCACCACCCAAACCAGGCATCTCCCTGCTCTTGAACTCAGTATTTTCTGGGTTGGCCAATTCCGGAGCAGGAGTCAGCCTGCATTCCTCTTCTCCTTGCCATCTAAGTTAGTCAGAAGTCCTATTCACTATACCTCCGAAACACCCCAACAATGCACCTTTTTGGTCCCCATTACCATCACCTTAACACTCTCAACAGAAGATTGTTGTGGTTTGCAAACTGTCAGGTCTTATAAAGCATTTAAAAAAATTACGTCACKTCTTTGTCACAACAAAAACCTCTATCTCTTCATTATCTTCAGAAAGAGACCCAAATCTTTCCTATGGCTTATGATGTCCTTCCTGATTTGTCCTTTGCCTCTTTCTCTATACCCTTCCCTAGAGCCTATGCTTCAGCCGTGCTGGCCTATTCTGATCTTCTAAATGTCCCAATGTTCCTCTTCTGACCCTCTGCACATGACATACTCCGCAATTCTTTCACTTCCTCTTCAATATGCTATCTCCTGCTCCTACAGCAAGACTCAGGCAGGGATCCTCTTTCTCATGTTAGCATCTCTTTTATCTTAGCACTTAAGCACTGGAAAGCAGCTGTGTCCTACACTAAACTGAACTTCTCTCTCTCTAGTCTATTTCAAAATCAGGTTTGGGCCATAGTAGGTGCTCAATAAATGTTTTAGGAGAGAATGAATAAAAGGCATGAATCAGAGGCCAATGAATCACATATAGGTCTATTAGGAAAACACTACCCCTGAGACTGTGATTTCCCAGGGAGCCGGCACCTTGTTCTACGAACTTTTAAAATTTATCCAATTCAAACTTTTGGTGGTTTCTCAGAAAGTTAAAAAATAGCATTACCATATGAACCAGCCATTCCACTCCTAAGTAKAAAATCCAAATATAAAGCAGGCACTCAGATACTTGTACATGAGTATTCATAGCTGCATTGTTCACAATAGCCAAATAATGGAAATAACCCTGGTATCTATCAGATGAATGGATAAACAAAATATGGTCTAATTGCACACAATGGAATTTTAGTCTCAAAAAGGATTAAAATTCTGTAACATGCCACAACATGGACGAATTTTGAAAACATTAAGCTAAATGAAACAAGCTAATGACATCATGTGACTATATGAATGTTACAACAAAGTCCACTATTACGTATAATTATAATCTACCAATAAAAAGCTAGACACAAAAAGACAAATACTGTACCATCCCGTTTATGTCAGGTACCTAGAACAGGTAAATTTAGAGGCATATAGAAAGGAGTTCATCAGGGATGATAAAAATTTGTAGAAATCGGTAGTGGTAACATGACACTGGGCGTGTACTCAGTGTCACCGAATTGCACACCTAAAAAGGGTTAAAATGGTAATTTTGTTTTATATATATATATATATATATTTATCACAGTAAAAAAGGTAGACAATTTGACACATGAAAAAAGAAAAAGAATTCTTGAGAGTTCTTCTCTTCCTGTGCTTAGCATGATGTAGTTGCTTTGATAATCGTTCACTGAGTATCTGCTCTGACTGGAAACTGTACCAACTGTTTCACCCAGCTCCATAAACTTCTGTGACTCGTCTAATTATTTAATCAAGCTGGAGAAGCCTTAACTTCTATAGAACAGCACAGACCACTAGGTCACCTAGAACTGACTACAAAGCCCATATCAAACTACCATTTGGCACTGGGGGATGTTTTCCAGATKTACAACAGTATTGTTGAGGAATTTAAGTGATGAAATGCCTTCTTAAGGCCTTTATAAATAGTTTGCTACTTAAATTTTATAGACYGGATTTCAACATATGAAAAATTACTTACATTTGTTAGATTATCAGAAGTCTGGAAGCTTTTTTCTTTTTTAAAAATTTGGGACTAAAACACATGCTATAAATAAGACAGCTGTAAAGAAGGTGCRATTTATAACTTAATGACAACAAGCATTGGAAACATCAAAGAAAGTGGAAAGTTCAAAACCAGTGAACATGAAATAGTCAAGCAGTGCCCTAAAAGATATTCTAGAAGAGGAAGGCAGACAAGCTAGAGGAAAAAAATTTACCAGAAATATGAGCAAGACCTTCACCTCTAGACTGGCTACTAAATGACCAGATCAACAACTGTGGGGACATAGCAGGTACAGTCATTACAGCCCTTCCTGTTTTTGTCCCCTTCCCCTTCCAAAGGAAGACCTCTGGAAGAGCCACCACATGTAGAAATAAGATGTCAAGCAGSGGCTGGGGATATACCTCAGGTGGTAGAGTGCTTGCCTTGCATGCACAAGGCCCTGGGATCAATCCCTAGGACCCTCCCACATACACCTCAAAAAAGGTCAGCAATTAGTAGAGGACCTGCCACATAGCAGATGTTCAAAAGATACTCCCTGCAGCTCTATTTCATACTGAAGTTATAGGGAAAGTACATAAGGCTGGGTGAGGTGGTACATGCCTGTAATCCCAGTGGCTCAGGAGGCTCAGGCAGGAGGATCACAAGTTCAAAACCAACCTCAGCAAAAGTGAGGCACTAAGCAACTCAGTGAGACCCTGTCTCTAAATGAAATATAAAAAAGGGCTGGCAATGTGGCTTAGTGATTAAGTGCCCCTGGTTTCAATCCACAGTACCCCCTCAATATATATTTTTTCATTTTTTGTGCTATAGAAATGGTCTTAATTTTGCATTTATCAGGCACTTATTACTTTAATTTGGCATTATTAGGGCAGAGTAGAGTAATATTTCCATTTCTCAGTATATATGATATAAATACATCTGACAAAAGTAGGTCAGAGTTCCATAAAATGGTGATTTCTCAACCTTGTGTGTCTTAGATTAGGTCATAAATCCTGGTAAGTGAAAGRGTCTTGTGTAAGTCTTAAAAATTTGTTAGGGCAATTCCAATCCATGCAGTATCAGGGGGGCACTTTGTGTCTCTGGCTATCCTGATATGCCTTAGATAAAAACCGAAGTTATTGTGCCCCTATCCTTTTGGCTGGATCTGCTTTAACATAAAATATTCCCTCTCCATCTTTTTTTCCCCACCAAGAGGCAAGGTCTCACTCTGTTGCCTAGGGTGGCCCCCAAATCCTGGGCTCAAGTGATACTCTTGCCTCGGCTTTCTGAACAGCTAGACTACAGGCAGCCTCAGCCATGCTCATCTGAAACACTTTCTCAAATCTAACAGGCAGAAAAGACACCACAGAGATCAAGAAATTGACCAAAAGTCAGTTGGGTGTTTGTGGCCATCTATTCTACTGCAACTTTTCTTCCTGGYACACACGTTTTTGGTAAAAATGACTTGAATTTTTTTTTTTTTTTTTACTTCTCCTTTTGGTGCTGGGGATTTAACCCAGGACATTGTACATGGTAGGCACATGCTCTACCGCTGAACTACATATGCTTCCAGCCTGCTTAAATGTGGCTTTTTAAAAAATCTAGTGCCCTAAGCAGAAATCATAGAGCAGTGTAGTTCTGACTAGAATTTCCTTAGATAAAATTATTAGCTATTTTACTAGGTAATAAAGATGCAAAATATTAATTTTAATATCAAATACTATTAATATTTAACATATATAATTCAGTTAACTATTTTTATTCTTGTGTGACATCTATATATCAGTTTCCCATAAAGAAAAACTGTCATAAAAAATTTAAGGTCTATGAAATTTTACTCATTTCCCTTACGGGGTCAAAATGATTGTATTTTATTGCTTCCACTTTTGTATAGAGCTGTCACAATTCTAAGTAGCCTAGACTGCCTCTATATATCAGGTTTTAAAAATTTGTTTTTTAGGACAGTGGAATAAATGTGTTTTTAAAAAATTAAGGTGCAACTTAACAAGAATATTAGGAAAAAATACTTTCACAGTTTAGAGTATCATGAACAAAAGCATGTGCTTCTACTTCAAAACTATTCTTCCCAAAAACTTCTAAAATAATTTTCTTAACAAATACTTGTACTTTCAGCCCGGTGTCCTACTTGAGAATATAAAAACATGTCAATCTCAACTACTTCTTGCCTGAAAGTTTTCTTAAGGTTTTATATAAATTAATCTATCTCAAGATTGTGATAYATTCAGCAGACAAAAATTCAACAAAGACTACTTCATGTCTTTAAGTACAGAATTTTGGGATGTTAAAATCATTTGATATCAAAGAAACAAAAGGATTAAAATCACAATAACAAACCCACAAACCTCCCTGGCCTGCCTCCTATTCTAGTACTGACAGAAAATAGGACCACAAAGAGGGCAGTTGAAGTGCTTATGCCAGAGATAAATAAAAACATGGTAGACAGAGACACACATGGTGGAGAATAAATTTAATTTTAACAGGAGAAAGGAATGCRTTCTTAAAGGTGGTTGTGGTGGCTTAAGCCTGAGTGTTCCTTTTAGTTCCACCTGTAAGAAAAAAAATACAAGTTTTTCCTCTAACTGCTTCCCAGCAGTTTCAATGACAGCAAAACATCAAATCTATGATGGTGCTAGAGATCTTCTACAGGGACAGGGAAGATGCAACTTGATGAATGTTTTTTTAGTCTGAAAAGAGGGAGAGAGAGAAAAAGAGGGAAAGAGAAACAGAGGAGAAAAGAATAAAAACTAATTTTCCAGTCGGGGAAATACTTATAAAACCTTTTATGTCAAAGTTAGGATTTCACAACAGAACACACTAATGCAAAATCCAGTAGCACCTGTAAGATTTAAGTAAATGCTGTCATCACTTAAATGCTTTTAAATTTCTGTAAAAGTCTGAAGGAAATAAAAGATGAAGTACATTCTCCAGAGAACAACAAATGTATTTAAAAATAAAAACTGTATTTTGTTTTTCTTTTTTTCCAAGTTTTTTTTTTTGTTTTTGTACAAGAATTCATAGTTATAATGACTTATACACAATGGAATCAATCTCTGCTCTCTTCCTCTGTCATTTCAAGTCCACATGTTCAGGCTATAGTCCCCAACATCATGTTCTGATAAATATATCACCACAATTTAATCTAAATATAGATACATTATATAATACTTGTCTCTGGGAAAAATCAAATTTTAATATGCAAATATTTATATAATACAGAAATGGATAAAAAAACTACTGTAGGCACACAACCTAATTATGAGTTGTAGAGGATGATTTCTAGATACTCTCCTACTGTAAATGAATGTTTTAAATAGTCTTAGTAAGAAGGTTTTATTTATATGTGCACTTGTGTCCACCTTATCCCATATTTTGTACGTTTACTGACAATCTGGGAATTTAAAGGTGCAGCCCTCAAGAAATTGTTAAATCAGTTAAAAAAAAAAAAAGAAAGAAACAACTAGGTTCTATTGGACAAGGAAAACACTCACAAAATTTCCAATTTTAAATTTCATATCAGTAGGAAAATATTAAAAATAATTTTCTGTATATACATATGGGTATATGTATATGTTGAATTACACATATGCCTCACATTATCAATACAATTCAAGTGGAGACATTTTGGTGAGTTATTTTCCCATTAAATGACCACTATGTCAAAATTTAAAAATATTTTATTACATCATTAAAATAATTCACTTACCATTTCAACAGCTTATACTGTTTTTTTTTTAAGTTTTTTTAAACTCTTCATAACTAAATTCCCTGATCCCTAGTATTAGTCCCTTATTTAAGTTAAAACCTGGTGCTCTTTGTACTTGAAACTCATGGATAAAATCACATTGACTTCAAAATTCTATCCATCAAATAAATTTTATTACCTGATTTATCAGAGAAATATCTTAGCTCTGAGCATATGTACCTAAATTATTCTCCCTATAATAAATAGGTGAGGAAAATACCCTAAAATAGCTGGAGGTAACTTACATGATGTAATAGCACATATAATACATGATGATTAAGTGTCTGATATAAACTTTTCAGAAACACCTGAAAACTCACTTTAGAAACTAATTTTAGAAACAAATCATTTATTTTTCACTCTAATATAAATTAATATGTATGTATTTATATACATACACATAGATATAAAACAAAAGTATCTAGTATTGAGTAGCTATTTATGAGTGAAAAATGGTTACAAATTGATTAATTAGCTTAATTTTGTACTTGACAATTCAATCATTTGGGGTACAAACAAAAAGTCAGTGCATTTATTGACTCTTTAGAGTCAAATACTCAAGCATACACTTTAAAAAAGAACCCTCAACATGACAGGCATTGTACAGCAAGAATATATGTACTCTGATGCAATTCCTACTCCATAAGCAGACCAGACAGAACTTGGCTTACTTTTAAAATAGCCTCATAAAAGAAATATATAAAGAAATGCATGTTTGCTAAAAGTCTTTTAAAATTACATCAAAACAACATTAAAACCTGCTCACTGAGAAGAGCCTGTTGGATGTAATTCCTGTTTTGAAATGCCTAGTTAACAGTTCAGAATATTGCCTTGTGAGGTTTGAATAAAGATGTGGTTGATGTGAAGACCCAGCCAGGGTACATGACTCCATCTCCATCTGCCATGATCACAATTTAGATACAGTCCTCTGATTGGCTGTTTGATGTAAATGGATCCCCTTGAAAATAGCTATACACCTTAAAATTATCTATAATAAACAGTTTCCCAATAACCATTATTCATAAATTGAAATGCGTTGATCTTTCAGAAAAGATTTCTTGCAAAATATATAAATAAATGTAACTGCATATTTTCTGTAAATATACTTAACATTGCTAGACCAGACCGTCAATGACGGACTGCTGTATTTCAGTTCTGTGTGTCAAATTTATTAGAAATTTAAAAACAAAAATTTCTGAGGGACTCAGCTGCCTTTGTTAGTTGGCTTTAAAATGTATAATAAAATGGGAGACAATATCTTCTCATAAATACATGGAGTCAATATGGAAAAGTAAACTATACAACGGACAAGATTAGAGAACACCAGAGTGTACCAGAGTAGTCACCAGAGTGAAAAATCTTCCAGTACAAAAAAGGGAAGAACTCTATACACCCAGTTATAGTGTCTTTCAATTAAAGATGCAGCTCTCTCTCACTCCTGGCAAGAATTAATTGGTAATGGCACTGCTTTTCAGCAGTGCAAAAATATCCTGAGAAATTATTCAGATTACAACAAAAGACAGGGCTTTCATCACTAAGTTTTTGCACAAAACACAGCTTTAGATATCATAAATAAATTAATTTAAAAAGCAGATAACCTTCACTGTGTTGAACACAAAAAGGGGATGTGACCCAGACATTGTTAATTCTCCCATTGGCTAATATTGGAAAGAAAAAAAATTGCATTAAGTATCTATTTATAACTTTCTAGTTAACTATGGCCAATAATATACATGGAGGTAATTTGTAGTTCAAGTTTTTCATCTCTTTTTTTTTTTTCCCAACTAGCTACAAGCTGAATTCTAAAATTTACACTGAAATATACAATTCCAATTTTCAAAAGATCCTCATCCTGGAGTTATATTCAATTTTTTTTTTTTTTTTGTGCAATCTTGATGCAGAGCCCAAACAGTTCTACGAAGAGAGACAGTGTATCTTTTAATCAATGGCACTGAAATTTCACTTTCCTTAGCTGCATTCTAGTAGCTTGGCCAAGTTATCTCGTAATTCTGTTAGTTCAAATATTTTTCCATCCAGAATTTCTAACAGTGTCTTCAGGTTATTGCGAAAAGCTTCTTGTTCGTTCTGACTCTTCTCCAGACGTTGCTCTAAGTCAGACAGCTGTCCCTCCAGATCTTTGTTCCGAATTTCTACTTCCTTCAGAAACAAAATTATAATACACATATATATGTCAATTCATCTCTTATAAAACAATACAGCTTTGTTATTTCTAACATTGTGTAATAATTCTGACACTGAGGATGAACTAGTGAAGCTCAATTTAACACAATTTAAGGGAATTTCAAGACTAGGAAGCCACCTCAAGAGAGCTATGTASTTTTACTGACCTGCTGGTTTATGAATCCCTCTAACTACCCAAGAAAAAGTTACTGACTTGATTTTGGGCCAGGCAACACTCTAGGTACTTTACATCTAGACAGGATTAAAGACACATTTCATGGATTATTTACCTTTTATTTTTACTGCTGCCTACCTACTTTTTCCTAATACAAAACTGTTAGCAATCTTAGGTAAAAATAAGAAGAGAAGTAGAGAAATTGAGTTTTTCTCCTTATGGCAACTCTAGAAAAAGATTTAGTGAAGAAAACAACAATCTAAAATGAAACTTCAGGCTATATGTTAATTATTATGTTTTGCCTCATTATTGAATGAATGCACATGTAAGAACATAGTTCAACTGCTAAAAAATCCAGTAAAGATAAACAGTAACTGCATTACAGAAATATAAAGCTAACAATTCCACTATGCTGCAAGGGAAAGAAAAAACTACAAAAGGGAAGCAAAAATTTTTTACAACAAAATAATATTTTTAAAAGTTTACSTAAAACTTATTTAGTAATTACTACTGCTTTTAAAAATGTTTCTAAATTCCACAAATATAACAAAGTGAACCTAAAAATAAAATGACRTAATTTGAGGCAGTGATTTTAATTTTAGTTAAAAAAATTGAAAATGATAGAAAACCAACTATAACTTTTCTTTTGGTGGTGCTGAGGATTGCACCCAGGGCCTGTGCAAGCTAGGCAAGCACTCTACCAACTAAGCAATATCCTTAGCCCTCCAACTATCACTTTTTAAATAAACTATTCAAATAAACAATGAATTGAAAGTTATATATCCTTTCTGGGAAACCCACTTTTACATCTAAGAGGAATTAAGTGACTGACATGAATTATAATGGAATATTATACATTACATGGAACAGTGAAAACATTTTGGTGTTAGTTACACAACATGAATCAGACACAGAAAATAAGATGTTTCAAGTGTTAATACATCAGTTCAATGTAAATCTCTAAAGAAATTCTATCAATCTAAAGGATAGTAAAAAAATTTTAAATTAATATAACCTGGTAAAAATTTTAAATTAACACAATCTGGTAAATGTAAAGTGAAAGGAACAGAATGTAAAGCAGCATACTGCCACTGGGCCGAGGACACACACTGGGAATTTATGTGGAAAGAGGACAGAATTCTGGTGCTGGAATTACAGGTATTTTTTTCCCTAAGAATTATTTTTCTTACAATTTCTTCAAAATCAAAGTTTTAAAAACTAATTGGGAAATTGAATATATTTAAGAAAGTAACAGTTTATTTAGAATTCTGAACATAATCACATGCTTTGACAAGATAATTATGAGCAAGGATCAAGCAAGGATGTCACAGATGAACTGCAGGAAAATTTAAGGTTAATAAAACAACTGTAATGATTTATAAATGAAGGGTTTAAGGATCCAATCTAATCTCAAAGTATTTACTGTCAGATGTTAAGCATGTATGTTTCTAATCTCCTTTTTCTGAATAATCTGCAAGGTAAAGATAAGTAAACTGAGAATAGAATCTGAAATTTAAAAAATATTTATAAATTCAGAAGCCAAATCTGTGGAGGCTATAAACTATCAAGGAGGAAACAGATCCTGTGATCAAATGTAAAAATTCCACTCATGATTGCACAGCATGCTGTCTTGCTGGCTTAAACAATAAGCTTAAGGACAGAATGTTTCCAGCTATAAAAATAGACCAAATGTCATTCACTAGCAAATACCCACTTTACCAGCCACCACCTACTTTGCCCTCTAAAGCCTTCTTTAGAAATGAAAAGCTCCCTTGTTCTCCCTGGTCATCAATGGGATGTCCAAACATTTTCAATGGAAGAAAGCAAAACACACAATTCTCTCAGCTATTAAAATTGCTTTGTTCTCTCCAAAATGAGTCTCCTACTCTAAGCCATCTCTCTGTTTGCAGGAATTTTATTAGCTAAATAACAAAAGAGATCTAATACAATGCTGATGAAGCTAGTCTRTTTTTAGGCTCAGAGAATATGTTCCTAGAGCAAGAACAGACAACTTAGTGAAGAGGGGCCAATCAGATGGTTCTAAAGCCATGGTCAATAGAACTTCTTAATTATCTACSCTTTTTCCATGTTTTCCAATCCTTTCCTTCTTGCCTCATTCTCTCTCCAAACTCATAATTCTACTCACTATCATTTCTTGCCTACTACATTCTTCTTTTTCTTTACTGATGAAAGAGTAAAGGCTCAAAAAGGGAGTTAGTGATTCTGGCCTGTAGGGCTCTTTCAAATCTGAGCTAGGCCAGAATCACTAACTCCCTTTTTGAGTGCTTTAAAAATAAGGTCGCAATTCAAAATATAAGCTTCTACTGAGCAGCAACTCATGCTGCTTACTTGTTAGACATGGAAGCTAAAATGCAAGACTGTTTAAAAGAAAATCACACAACAATAACCACCACAAATGGGATCAGACCATTTAAAAATTTAAATCCTACATAATTTAATCCAAATAAAAGCAACAGAAAATTATCATTACTGGTATCTGACACATACCTTAAGCTTTTATAAGTAAGAGATATTATTGTCTTATTAGATAGTTAACCTTCATATATAACAGGACATATAAATCATCAAGACAAGTATTCATTTTTACCCAGAAAAATGGATAAAAACCACACATACACATTGTGAAAAAGAGTTACTCAACTATTAATTAGTGAACATTTATTACTAGGCAGTGGGAATAAAGTAGTAAATAAAGATGGCTCCTATTTTAATGGCGCATGCATTCTAGAAGGAAGACAGGGACAATAAAGACAGCAAACAAGATTTCTGGTTAGCCAAGGTAATGTGAAATCTATCATCGTCTCAAAACATCAAAAATAATGGAAATAAAACCGCACAGATTATATGACTTCAATGTAAGTAGAAGAAAATAAAATGTGTCAAATTACCTGTAATTAGAAAGTATAAGCACCAGTTTCCACACAGAGCTGCTTCTCAAATTCTCACTCTAACCCTCTGCAGAGGGAAAGCAGGGCGTTGGGGGCAATGCAGGAAAGAGTGAAGAGAAAGGCCTATGGGACTATGATAACCCTAAGACCACTGTGAGTATCAAAATACTGAAAGAATAGGAAAAAAAGGATCTAGAAGAGAGCAGGTTATAAGAAAGGGACTTGAACAGTGCACATGCAACTTGGAAAGGCAATAGACACTTGTGAAGAGAAGAGGATAAAAGAAGAGAAAAAACTTTCTGGAAAAGGATGGTAAAGGAACAAAGAAGCAAGTTATAAAATTAAAATATTAAAAGATAAAGAAAATTAGAATAAAGACACACAACTTCTCCCTCTACTGTGTTCCCAAAAGAGGGTGGTCTGAACTACAAATTTATAAACTACCCCAAACCACCATTCTATACATAAAATGCAAAGACTTAAGCAAACTTCATCTACAAAAACTATTATAAAGGGGCTGGGGATGTGCCCGAGTGGTAGAGTGCTCACCTAGCACGTGYGAGGCCCTGGGTTCGATCCTCAGCACCACATAAAAATAAATAAAATAAAGGTATTGTGTCCAACTATAACTAAAAAATAAATATTTAAAAAAACTGTTATAAAAAGAAAATATTCAAAACACTTCAGTAAATGGAAATCAACTTGAAACAGAAAAAAAAGCAAACACTCCAACCTGAATTAAAAYTCTGAAACAAACATTAAAAAACAGGCTTGATTAAATACTCAAAAATTAAGAATAAGATGGGCACAGTGTGGGTGTACACCTGTAATTTTAATGCCCGGAGGGCTGAGGCAGGAAGATTGCAAGTTCTAGGTCAACCTCTGCAACTCAGCAAGACCTTGTCTCAAAATAAAATYTAAAAAAAGGGCTGGAGATATAGCTTAGTGCTTGCCTAGTAAGTGTGAGGCTTTGGGTTCAATTCCCTGGTTCAATCCTCAATAATGCAACAAAACAAAAACAAAAATAACAATAGAGGAAAAAAAAGCTCCGAGAAATAGACTTAGCCCAAGAAAGAAACAGAAGAAAAAAGCAAAATCATATCAGAAATTGAAAGGAAAGTGACCACAACACTCAGAACGACCAAGAGATGTTTATTGCGGTGGTGTCAGATCTACTGGTGGGGGTGGGGTGTGATACCAAGTGTCATCTTCTGCTTTCAAGCAGATTGGGCATGGGCTAGGCACAGGTTTCAAATCCAAAAACAAGAGGAAGTAAAAGGAAAAGGTGCCAAATAACCATCCAAAGAAGAAAGGACTAACAAAGAATGAGGGTTGGGTACTCAGTTTTACCCTACAGCTAACATTTATTCAGCCTGTCCTGCAGCTAACAGAAATAAGGACTGACTTAAGGTACCCAAAGAAAAAAATAGTTCTTAATAAAAACTTTTAAATTCAGTTATTATTACTTATTTGTTATTTTTCAAAATTTAAAGGAATAAAAGTGGGATAAAGCGGGGAAAAGAGGTTGAACTAGATAATGCAGCTACATAAAACTGGAGCTCATAAAGAAGAAAAACAACAGAATAGAATACTTAAAACCTTTATACAAAAAAACTTCTTGGAAATAAAGAAAGAACTGGATGTAAAAATTAAAAGGGCCTATTTTATACCTAAGAAAACTGACCCTCCACAATCAATTCCGAGAAACATCTTAGTCACTCTAACTTTACTTAAAAACAGAGGGGAAAAATCCTTGGAGCATTCAGGCAAAATAGCCCCAAACTTAAAAGTCAACAGAATTATACTGGAATCAGACTTCTCAAAAATAATATATAAAACAAGGCAATACTTGTCATTTCCAAGTAACTCAAAGACCTGGGAGCAGTGCACAT